TAAAAACAAAATCTTTGTCAAGTCAGTTCACGTTTGTAAAATTATTTAAATACATATATGGCTGAGCAATGAGAACTTTACAGGTCCTAAATATTAGGATAGCATTTTCTGGGCACCCACTTTATTTTAGATGAATAATTTAACAGCAAATCTGCTTAATAAAGTAAAAGAGGAATACGTTTCTTGTCTAATGGAATGACTAACTCTATTGCCTTGGAGTGCAATTGTTCAGTACTTCTGTGATGCTCTGCAGTATCAGGCAGCCAAACAGTACGGTCTACTACCACAACAACAGCAACTGACAGGGACTCTTATTGTCACAGCACAAAATGATTGTTTAAAGTTGTTTAACATTCCACTATGTGCTGTTTTGGTGGCTGTAGCCCAGGTGGTAGAGCAGGTCACCTACTAACTGGACGGTTGGTGGTTCGGTCCCAGTCTGCTCTAGTCTGCATGCCAAGTACAAGACGCTGCAAGATGCTAACCCCATGTAGCTCTCCAACGCATCCATCGGAGTGTGGATGTTGGTTAGGAAACACCCAGAAACAGTGGAAAAAAAGTACTGTGTCAATGTGCAAGTTGTGTAAAGTGCTCAAGATAGACTAGAAAAGAAATAGAGAAGAACCACTCTATGTACCACGTGTCATAAAAGATATATTTAAGACGTGGTTCTTTCATGGTGACATGTTAGCATGTACTATTGCCTCACAGCAAGAAGGTCCTAAGTTTAATTGCCATGTTTGTGTGGGTTCACCCCGGGTACTCTGGCTTCCTCCCACAGTCCAAATACATGCAGTTAATGAGGATAGGTTAATTGGAAACACAAAAATGCCCATAGGTGTGAATGTGAGTGTGAATGGTTGTCTTTGTCTATGTGTTGGCCCTGCGACAGACTGGCAACCTGTCCAGGGTGTACCCTGCCTCTCGCCCTAAGACATCTGGGATAGGCTCCAGCAACCCTGAGAAGCAGAAGCGAATGGATGGATGGTTCTTTGCTTCTCATTACCAGTAGAAAAAGTTGCTTTTTGGTGCAGCACATAAAGAAAGTGCTTCATATGCTTTTTTATGTCCGGATGTCTAAGAAATATCAAACACAGTGGTTTATTTCATCATATCAGAATGTTAAACATGACACTTTAAAGACAGGCTACAAGTGGAAGGACGAAGCAGAATGATGAACGAGAGGAGAGTGATCAAGTTAGACTGCGTGATTATGAAAGACACAGCTAGAGAGAGGCTCATAGATAAAGCCTGGCTGCTCCTGAGGGAGAGCAGGTGTTAGTGTTATAATTGGAGAAGATGGACCGTCCATATGCTCTCTCTGCTTTATTGGAGCGCTTTAAAGCACCACTCTAATTTCATTGGCCGAGCGCAAGTGACCATAATCTTGACCGCAGGCTTGATTTGAGTGCTCATAAGAGTAGTGACCGACATCCTATAGTCTGAAAACTTTAGTATGTGTGTATGTGTGTGTGTATGTGTGAAATAGGAGAAGGAAATCACATTATCCTGTAGTGAGCTGAAGGGCTAGTTGATCTACCTTCCCCGCACACGCTTACCTTTATGTGAGTGTCAGAGTGTGCATTCCTGTGCTTGTGCCCCAATTTGTGTGTTAAACCTCGAAGGCTGCATAAGCTGCATATCATTAATGCCCAAGGCTCACAGCTACACCAATAATGCGGTGTTGGAGGTAGATTTCGCCTCAGCAACACGTGTGATGAATCAACTCATCGCCCACTTAGAATGTCACAGGTCCTGGACGACGCATGTGCGCGCGTGTGTGTCAGTGTGCTTGCAGGCATGCATATGCTGTCATCTATGATGAATTAACTCATTTTGTTCAATCTGATTTTCAGTGATTTTCAGCTGAAGACTCTGAGCAGTAGCTTCTTAATGGGCATTACTGCTGCTCTCATAATCAGACTCCAAATCATCTTGTACAGTATGCGATGGAGCACTTATTAATTTCCAAGTGAAACAATGGTGTTCCACTGTCTCTGCTACATCTTTAACAAGTCTTTCTAGCAGACTGGTTTCTCCTGACGAATCTTAAACACATTATCGCTAGCATCCTCTGTATTAATCACTCTTAACCTGCTTTGCTACCCTATCCATTGAAACTTGTATTTTTAGTTCTTATTTTAAAAACTGCAAAAAAAAAAAAAACCTTTTCGTAAATATATCACTTAATTTCTAAGGTTTCCTAACATGAAGCTAACTACCAGCCAGATATGTGAGAGGAGGCATAAAAATAGAAATCAGAGTTTCCCTGTGATAAATCTTGTCAGTGCTTGTACCTCGTAAACACACTGCTCACTATCACACCATCACACGTTATTTTCAGATGTGTTAATTGGGAAAAGAGTCTGGCATATGCATGAATGTGAATAAGAAGCAGAAGCAGTGACGTTTTTATAATCTTAGTAGTAGCTCAAACTTGATTGTAGATTCCACACATTTTAGCACAGACTGATACTGGGATACAGTAATGCCGTGGTGATTAGTGATTAATGATGAATCATCCAGACATGATTCTGGAAGGCTTCCGCGTTTCAGCCATGATCCATATGTGAAGTTCCTCTGGTGTTACATGTTGGATCCGCTTTAACTGTGCTGCTCATTATAAACCAAAGCTGCTTTTATCCATGATCGGTTTCCTGAAATAGATGTCTCTTAGTTTTTGTTTGGTTCCTATTCCTTCATGTTTGTTCTAACAGCAGTTGTGCTTTTCGTTACCCATATAGTATAATTTTATCACCAAACCTCTTAACTGCCAATATACAGATCCCTGTGTGTTCCATCTGTGACTGTATTGTTGAATCTAAAAAGTTAATTAAAGTTGATGATGTGCAGTGCTAATATAGGAACACAATATATTTGTTTGTAGGACAATGTGGACCTTGGAGAGCTGATGTTCTCACTGTGCTATCTCCCAACGGCTGGCAGGCTTACCATCACAATTATCAAAGCCAGAAACCTCAAAGCCATGGACATCACTGGAGCCTCAGGTGGGTGCCGATCAACAGTACAGTGTGTCCAATAAGAGGTGGTGTAGGAAGATGAGGTATGCATGCATTAGTGTGTGTATATCTGTTTAATTATTTCTTCAGTCTTAACACCTTTTCTCTTCTCAGATCCATATGTGAAAGTGTCTCTGATGTGTGATGGTCGAAGGCTAAAGAAGAGAAAGACATCGACTAAGCGTAACACTCTGAATCCAGTGTACAATGAGGCCATTGTGTTTGATGTTCCTCCTGAGAGCATTGACCAGATCAGCCTGCTAATAGCTGTCATGGACTATGATCGGTGAGTTACCTCTGTACATTTAGCACTCTCATGTGACATGCCAGCACATTTTAGAACATTTTAGAGTCTCTGTGGGTGCTGTTTTTTCTGTCCTCCAGGGTTGGGCATAATGAAGTGATCGGGGTATGCAGGGTAGGCAGTGAGGCCGAGAGCCTTGGGCGAGACCACTGGAATGAGATGCTGACGTACCCACGGAAGCCAATCGCACACTGGCACCCGCTCATAGAGGTATGGCCTGCTTTGTGTACTAGGTGTTTTAAATTGAAGATACACTTGATAAAAGTCTTGTAAAATAAAGCAAAAATATAATTATTTTTCATGAGGATACTGGAATATTTTCTTAATTGTAATGACATCTCTTAACATAGCACTAGACATAACTTAGAAACCACAAATTCCCTAATGAGGCGGTGGATGAAAGGTTGAACAACCATAAGCCATTTTTCAGTTGGTCCTGAGGGGAGTAGAAAGGTGTCCATCAAATTTTATGGCCATCAATCGAATTCTTTATCATAAATGGTTACAATGTAGAGACATTTAACTGTTAAAAGAAAATATCAAGGCTCAGTGTGGCTCAATCTACAATAATTTAGATATACAATGGCAGCTATGTATAGGAGAGAAGGCACTGGACTGTTTGAACCGGATTGATGTTTCAATCATGTGGAGTGAGAGGTTCCCTAAAAAGTGGAGATGAAATGTGCTGTTTTAAGAGCAACGGCCATGTGCAGAGTAACTGCAGCAGGATGAGGCACACCATGGGTATGGGGTATGGTGTTGAGGCAAAAGTATAGAGAAGGTCAGCCCTTGCACTGTTTTTGTGGATCTACAGAAAGCATATGATAAGATGCCAAGAGAGGAAATGTGATACTGCTTTAAGAAGTCGGGTGTTGCATAGAAGTACTGTATGTGAGGGTGGTGCAGGAAATGTATGAGGACAGCAGAACAGTGGTGAGGTGTGCGGTAGGTGTGACAGTTGTTTTTTTTTTAAACAAAAAAGTGAAGATAAACTGAGGAGAGATTGTGAAGGTAGCGTAGTTAAAATACCTGGGGTCAGCCATTCAATAAAACGGATAATGTGCAAGAGAGATGAAGTAAAGAATGCAGGCAGGTTGGAGTTGGTGAAGATGAGTGTTATCTCCACCAACTCCAACAGATTTGTGAGAAAAGGATAAGAGCCAGATTGAAAGGGAAGGTTTGTATGATGGAAGTCAGCCCGAGATGGTTTGGGCAAGTGCAGAGGAGGGATAGCAGATATATTGCTCAAGCGCTGTTGAAGATGGACCTACCAGGCATGAGGAAAGAGGTAAACCACAGAGAAGATTCATGGATGTGACAATTGTGGACATAAAAATAAGAAGGCTAAGGATAGTGTGAGATGGAGGCAAATGATCTGCTATGGCAACCACTAAAGAAAGCAGCCAGAAGAAGGTTTATACTGTATAATGAGAAACACACATATAAAGATTTCCCCCATACTTCTGATGCAAGGTATAAAAGTTAAGTAGTCACCACAATCATTAAGATCTATCCTCTGGGTATCAATCATTTCTGAACCAAAGAAATGGATAGTCTATATCTGATATGCATTCAGATATTTTACTGAAGAGAGTTTAATGTATTTATGGATTAAAAGTGAGGGAATCACCAGTCAAAGGGATTCATACTCTGGTCCAGAATTTAATATTTAGCTTCTGGATGAATTGACATCAAACAAATGCCATTTGAGCAGGAAAGCTGTGGATCAACTAACTGGCATTGGTTTCCTGACAAGCAAGCTTTTGCCATAAAAAACAATCAATTTAGCATATCAATATTAAGGCTTCTAAGTGGCCATTCACTACTAATGTCTCTATTAGCTTTGATTTCAAATATGGCTTGACTGCTCATCTCTGACTCGCCATAATATACTGTCCATAAAAGATGGTTTGTACACTCTATCTGGCAAGCAGTAGCAATGGAGGGGGTTGGAGAGCTAAGCTATCAGCTAGTATTTGCTAGCTTTGTTAGCAAGATCCATAAACTTTGTGAACATATCACACAGACAGTCAAGTGCTAGCATTTTTAGTACAAAGGACATGAAGTGACATAATTTGCAGAAAATTTTCATTCAGAAGGCAACAAAAAGACATTGTGCTCGATATGTTTATGCTTAGGACACAGCCTGCCTTGGCACTATGAATTGCATATAAAATATAGACATATATTTTATGAAATTATATGAAACCCATTGGTTTGTGAATGCCCATTAAGAACCATATAGTACAGCATTTTCATCATTGCCTTCCTGGTGTAGATCTGACTGAAACTGTACACATATTGGGATTATATCCTAATATATTATTGTGGCAATGTCTTTTATACCATCTATGAAACTAGCTAAATTGATGTCACAAAGTAAAATAGCCAAGGGAAATTTCCTACACACTTATAAAACTAGAAGTCTTTTTGTAACCACAGGTTTTGTAACCATAGATTATGTCTGGCAGACACCAGGCTCTAAAGATGTTTATGTTTGCTACAAAGTTTTAGCAGCCAGCCTCAAGTGGCTGATTTGGATGTTCTGCCCCTCCATCCCTTTATAGTCACTCTGAGGCAATGCTTAAGCCAGATATACTTGTGTAATGCTCAAGTAACCATATATACAGAGATCCATTGAATTACAGTAGTCTGAGGCAGTCCCAAACAACTGCTTTTAAATGCTTCTCTTACCTAAAAACAGTTCTGTCAGAATAGCGCACTATTCCGATAAAAAGAAAACTTATTTTAAATAAGCTTCACATTCCGTGTTAAATTTATGTTTTGTATAGTTCATTTGACGATATAGTGAATGAAAAAGAAATAAAACAAGTACTCCACAACCCCTGTGTATGCTTGACTTGTTTTGTTGTGATTGCCACAGCAGAGGCGCCTAGCTATCAGAGAAAGGGAGGGAGACATACAGAGAGGTGGCTACATTCGGTGAGATGCTTCTATTTCTGAATTCCCAGCCCACACTCATTAAAAAAAACAGAGCAAGCTAAAACAGATGCTGGACTGATTCATGTAAATTTATGATGAGTTGTCAAAGCCAAACATTTTGGTACTCAGCTAAAGGGGGTCACAAGATAAAAACACCTCAAAATGGAAAGCTGTCCAGGCAAATGTAATGACTGGCATCAGCCATGGCGTGCATTAGCAACTGCCAGCTTCATGTGCCCTGTCACTTATTTGCACAATTTAAAGAAGGACTTTGACTGAAATGAGATAACTTTAGCACCTTATAGTGATTAGCAGCTAGCTAAAGGCTAACTTGCTAGCTACTGACACTGGATTTAGCTATCTGTAGATTTTTTAACACAGGAAGTAGAATGGTCACAATGAAATCAGAAGCCTGGAAATTTACATGGTAACCAATAATAACTATTTCAAAGAATTAATGTGTGATTCTAGAGTTTTTAATAACATTCATTTGTTACGCCATAGCTCCTGCAGCGGTACCATCTGACTTTTCCAACGATATTGTCAATTTAAACAGACTTTTATATGATACCTTTAATCATTTTGGGTTTTGATGCCAGGAGCATACATATAAATTTTAAATGAAACAAAGATGTTTATTATAACTTAATATTTCCCTAGAAAGGGCCTCTGGATGATAAAATATCCTATTCACTAATATTATGTTTATTAACTGGTTGCTTACTTTACACATTTCAATGACTTTAAAACTATTGGTATATATACATTTTGAATTTTTACATAAATTATTTATTAGCATAAAAGAACAAAATGCACATCAATTTAGTGCTTGCCCCTTAATGAATTCCTATTATTTTCTTTTTCTCATTTATAATTCAAGATCATCAAACAAATTTTAATTTTAGACAAAGATGACCAACGCAAATACACAATGCAGTTTTTAAAACATGATTTCATTTGTTAAGCTGCCTGTCAAAGTGAAAGAGGCTAAACACAATGCAATTATATACAATGCAAACAAATTGTCATAAAAAACATAAACATAAGAATCTATTTTGGTAAGTAAAAATACTTTTGATTTAGGACAGCTGGGCTCCTTATATTGTGTGGTAGTCTTATGCTTTAGTTTAACACTGTGTATTTTATGGAGGTGAGTTTTGAACTTTGAAAAGTACCAATTCATGTCCCTTTAAAAAACATTGTTTTTAGTCTTATCTGCTATGTACACCGATTTCTTGGGATTCTTTGAATAAATCTCTAAATTCTTTTCGATTTATTCTTTTCTGTTACTCCTGAAAGGCTCAGCAGTGATTTTTTTAAGATCAAAACTTTTTTTTTGTATCAACACTTTGTCTTTGTGTTATTGTCAATTAAACGTAGGCTTCAGATTAGTAGTAATTCATTGCATTTTGTTTTTCTTGTCAATCATTTTTGAAGCTCTGATGCTTTAATTTTAGTTTTTCTATCTCATAATCTGCCTGTGAATGGTTTGCTGCCTCTAAGTTTGAGTGTGTATATTGTAAAATTAAACAAAATTCAACTGCTTTTTGAAAATAACATGCAGGTTGTTAAGTCTCATTTTACACCACAGTGTCAATCCCCACTTCTCCAAGTTAACAGCTAAGTGTTGTACTAAGAACCACATAAAGCCACAAAGGAAGCCATCCTAAAATAAAGTAAATGAAGCACTAGCTGTCACACTGTGTACTTTCAGTATTGGTGAGAGGTCAATGACCCTGATATTTCCAACAGTGTTGAGGCCAGAGGAGCTCTTTCACTGTCTCTGAGGCCATTTGTGTAGCACTAACACACCCATCCACACAAACAATGGGCTGTGTCAAACACTCACCAGTAGCATTTCTTGTCTAAGGCCATTAGCAGCAGCTCTGGACTAGAGCAGCAGAGTCTGAGATCTCATCTAATGGCTTATTTGTGTAGAGATCCACACAGAAGACCTAAGGGAAACTGGCTCGGGGGATATTTCACATCCTTGCACACAGTTATACACACATATGTAGCTGAAGCCTATGCATAATATGTAAGCAATGAGTATTCACACATTCGCACAAAATTTATGTTTCAACAAATAAAACTAAACACATCTGACAAGTTGGCTTTCACACTCACACACATGCACACACACGTG